CGCCACTAAGATGCAAGAGAGGTACTAGTGGAACTGAAGGAGAAAAAAAGTCTTTAGAAAGACCAAGAAACCTAATGATAGCATGAATTTCAGAGTTTAGGTGGAGACGTTAGACGTATAGAGTTGAAGTAGACTTTAGAAGGAACCGGAAACTCACTGATAAAGAGCAAACAAGGGATAAATCTCTAAATCTGTTCAAAAGACTAAGGAGGAGTGTGAAACTGACGATAGGCGAGCATTTACTGAAGGAATAAAATAAAAATAAATAGTAAATAAAATTTCAGAGATGTTAGAAGTATAGAGTTCAAGTAAACTTTTAAAGGGACCAGAAATCCAGTCCTGAATACGAAACAAGGGATAAACCTCTACTCCTGACCAAAGAGGAAGCGGACGATAAAAGGAACTATCTATTTCTATTGCGGAAAAAAAGCTGAAAAATAAATTAGTAAATTGTACACATTTCTGACTTTAGGTGAAGAAGAAACAAAAAAGAAATGATAGAAGATGGAGGAAAATACGATTGACAGGCGGGAAAAAATGAAGCGGGAAGAGATTGGGCAAAGGATGAAGAAATGAGTTTTCTGGTAAAACATAGCAGAGAACAGTACAGGACCAGTCGTTATAGAGATGTTTGAAAAAGATATTTGTCTCGCAGTGGACAGGCAATTGCAGCATTTTTTCCCTGATTTCAACTATATAGACGCCATTTTGTCGGAACAATGTAAGTAGTATAAAAATCATGATATAATTAAATGCACGTTGCTAGTATGAATAAAATGTAAAGGAGCCCTGTAAAATTAATCGTTGTGAAAAGCTATATTACTCACAGAAAATTAGTCGGCCCGCAAGAATAAACTTTTAGAGTAAATTACTGAGCTAAAAATTGACACAAATGCACTAAAGCAGGGGTCACCAAACTTTTTTTCACAAAGGGGCAGATAACTCAGAGAATGACGAGCGTGGGTTGAACAAGCATTTTGTTCAATACAATACACGGATTAAAAAAATAAAGACAACGAACATATTTATTTACCAAAAAGTTGAAACCGATGTTAGCAATAAAACAGTTATATCACACCCAGTGCGTACATGTCCTAATCTCATAAATTAAACATCAAAAAACATCAGTGAGATTTATGAAACTGATGTTTACCTTTTGAGATATAATCAATATTTGCTTTGGAATTACTGCATCAAACCAAGAGAATTGCTGTCAAATTTTCATCAGTCAACCTCGTTAGATGTGCTGACTTTACATTCTTTAGAATTTATAATGCGTTCAGGCAAAATATATGACATAAGTCGACGAAGTTAGTTCTTTTTATATAGGGCACTCTTCAAACCGATTCAAACACGGCAATGCATGTTATAACATAATCTCTGCAGCAGGCTCGTAATTGCGTTTCTTAGAAACTTCATTGCAGGTACTTACACATAAAAGCGATCATATATCAAAAGTCGACGAATTTTTTATTTCACTGATTTCCTAAAACTTGTTATTGCCAGATGCAAAATTCAGATTGGCCAAAATTGGGCATTTTTAATGACATTTATTTTAAATTTTTTTCTACATAGTAAGTTTAACTCCAATCTGTTGAAGATTACATATAAATAATTATATTTTAGCTCATTTGGGGCACAGTGCGGCGGGGGGGTGGGGTCGGATGAACTTACATTCGGTGACCCATGCACTAAAGTATTCCCCAAAGAGGTGTTTTTAACTGAAATGCAAATATTGGCTGAGTAAAGTCATACTTTCGCAAAACAGAATTTTTTTTAGGCACGATCTGTTACCAGTTTATTCGCTGTATTTTGTGCAGGCCCGCGATGTAAAGTTGACGATGAAGGTATTTTATGAAGGCCCCCACCCCCAATGTAAAATTAACGATGAATGCATTTTGTGCAGTCCCCACCCGATGTAAAGTTGACGATGAATGCATTTTGTGCAGGCCCCCGATATAAATTCGACGATGAATGTATTTGTGCAGGCCCCCGATATAACGTTGAATATGAAGGTATTTTGTGCAGGCCCCCGATGTAAAATTAACTATGAATGTATTTTGTGCCGTACGCCGATGTAAAATTAACTATGAATGTATTTTGTGCCGTACCCTGATCTAAATTTAACGATGAATGTATTTTGAGCAGGCCCCCAATGTAAAGTTGACGATGAATGCATTTTGTGCAGGCCCCCGATGTAAAGTTGACGATGAATGTATTTGTGCAGGCCCCCAATGTAAAGTTGACGATGAATGCATTTTGTGCAGTCCCCCGATGTAAAGTTGACGATGAATGTATTTTGTGCAGGCCCCCGATGTAAAGTTGACGATGAATGTATTTTGTGCAGGCCCCCAATGTAAAATTGACGATGAATGCATTTTGTGCAGGCCCCCAATGTAAAGTTGACGATGAATGCATTTTGTGCAGGCCCCCGATGTAAAGTTGACGATGAATGTATTTTGTGCAGCTCTTCCAAGCTCTTCAAAGTGTTTGCGGGGAATGATGGAATTTGATCGATAGTTCTTTCAATATCTGTTTATATCTCTGAGATGAAGTATTATGAATACTTGTATTATTTACATTATTTGGACTGTTATCCTCATCTTCATTGCCATATTCACACAACATTTTGGCCGTTGTACGCTCCGGCCTTCTTCATGTGATTGGAATTTCGAACCGAACCCTTTATTTTGTTCAGCAGGTTAGATTGTTCTAGTTCAACGTGCCTCTTCCGGCTGTCTCCGTTATTTTCCTTTAGCTCAACTCTCCAACTTTTTGGTTCACCATTGCTGTGCCCTGGTATTGAACTCACAACTCATTGGGTCTAGTCACTGGAACTAACCACCATCTAAACTCAATGACACATGGCCCAGTGGATAAGGATGATCTTGCCAATGTGACCTCCATCTTCTGGCTTTCTCCTTTCTCTATTTTGGATAGGAGTCATTCCCTTGTTCAAATTTAAATTTAATTTAAATCAAAGAGAAAAAAATCAGTGTGGGGTGCAAAAACAACTTACGGTGACCGTTTGATATGTATTTGATGCAATACTTGGTTGAATGAATTGATGAGCAAATTTCAACATTGATATGACAGTTAAATTGTCGGAACAAATATGCATTGTAAGACACTACCCACTGATTAGTGATTTCTGACTCAATTTGATGTCCATATTGTCTCATTTTGATCTCGCCGGTGTTACTTTCATCTTCTGGATTTCTCCTTCTATATTGCGGATAGGAGTCATTCCCTTGTTCAAATTTAAATTTGATTTAAACCAAAGGGAAAAAGTCAGTGCGGGGTTCGTGCCCCCCCCCACAAGGACCCCCTTTGATCGAAATGAAATATACTTATCCAAGTACCTTGCGTAATGTTGTTTCAGAATATATATATGACTAAGGGGTGGGGGCCTATCTCGAAAACCATAGGAGGAGTTCGATAACAGACAGATAGCGGCTACAACTATATATATATATATATATATATAATTGGAAAACCTTTTTTTATAAAAATACATTGTCGGATTAAAGTTTTCCATTTTGAATTATCCACTTTTCTTCTGATTCTATATTCTACTAACACGCCATAATGTAGTGTATAGCTGATCACACACACACATATATATATATATATATATATATATATATATATATATATATATATATATATATATATATATATATATATATATATATCCTTCCCACTGAATTGGCATAAGTTGCAATTTCTAAGACTATAGAAATCGCAGTCAAATACAGAAATCCCTCGATCAATGCATTTTCGATTAGTGCTCTAAAATATTTATATACCAAAATTCGATTAGTGCATACATAATACTCGATTAGTGCGGTAAAACATTCTTTAGTTTAAACATAATTGAAAATTGATTTTTTTTTAATTACCGATTAATTAAAAATTTCTAAAATTTAAAAATGGAAAATGGGTAACTATTTTACTTTTTAATGTACACATTAGCCGCGCTAATCGAGGGGTTCCTGTATCTAAAAATATCTTTGTTCCAAATCCATACAAATCCACTTAAAGGACGAAGAAAACATGGGTGATAAAATAAAAAAAGGATACAAGTTTTTAAAAAAAATAAATAAGCACTCAAATATCGTGCGAAATTCTAATATGAATCGTTATTTTACGAGTTATTCGATTTTTTCTATTTCTTTTATAACGTTTTCATAAAAAATAGATAAGGATATTAGTCCTAATAACCTGTGCAATAAGTTCAGAAATCAATTAGAATCAAATGCCGAAACTGCTCCTAGAGGAAATCGATTTGAAAGAAAAAAAAGTTCTTTAATGTCATAAGCCCCAATATAACGAAATGCTTTCACGTTTCTGGTAGATCTATCACACGTGGACGTCGGCCAGTCTCTCTAACTCACAGGCTGCCTTAAAGAAAAAAGAACAAAAATTACTAAGATACACCTCTCTAACGATTACCAAAATATGCTGTGGAATAGGGAAACCTCGACAGTACATTCGCATAGTCGCTTGCAATAAGGTAAGCTTCTTGTTTACAACATATCAACACCGTAGACCTTGAAATCGCGGATAAGCTAAACTCTTTTCAACTGACCTCAACCCTTGGATAGTGATTTTCCAAGCGTAGCTTAGATGTTGCACAAGGCCAAAAGTATGGGTCACCTAGTGAGGATCGAACTCACTACTCAGTCGTAAAGGATCTAGCGATACAAGCTTGCTAACCATTGCGCCACCTTGAGGTGCCCCCTCAACCCGTGGATATTCAGAGTTTCTAACCAGAATGGCTTGATAGATTTACTGGAGTTTTTCAACAGAGACAAACACCCCGGGGGGGGTCACGACACTCATAAACCATCATCTCATCTGATTTTTGATGGTACCGTCTAGAGTGCCGCACGATGTCCTTCCAAAAATTTACTTTTATCATCCCTTACAGGGATGTTGACAAAAACGAGGACCCTCCTTGAGCAAAAATTACTTCATTTTTCTACGCTTTCTGTTGTATATAACCAGTGAAGCAGACATTTTACTAGCCTTGTAGGACTTCTCCAGTATAGACCATATATGCAGTGTGGCCGGATCAACTAAAAATGGCTAGCATTCTAGGAGCCTGACTAAAGTTTTGGGGTCCCCACATTTTTACGTCTCGATTCTAAAGTTCGTAAATTCCAGAGGACTGTAAGCGCCCTCAAAGATTGCAGCTGGAAATTATTATCCAAAATGTCCAGATCAAAACATCCGTCCTGGGTAAGACGATAAACTACGTCCAACAGCAAGGCCTCTGATCAGGAGGTTTTGAGGAGCGTGGAACCACCTCTTAATTGCTGGTGTTCCCAGGTCCACCTTGACCCGGGGTGATAGCACTATGGGCAAATAGTTAACACCCAAACTGGGGTTTTACACTGTGAAAGTGTAAAAATAGGTTTTAATACCAGCAATAAATTTTTGAAGAAAAAATTATTACCATCAATACATTTTTGAAAAATAAAATATTACCAGCAATACATTTTGGGAGAGAAAGAAAATACCCGCCATAAAAAATCTTATCGGTATTGAGGTCGATATGCCGTAAAAGAAACCAAACCAATATATACTGAGATAGATAGATAGAATGAACCAGGATGATAGATAGATAGATAGATAGATAGATAGATAGATAGATAGATAGATAGATAGATAGTTAGTTAGTTAGATAGATAAAAAAAAAAAAAAATATTACCAGCTATAAAAATCTTTTCGGCATTAAATAACCCGTTGAGGTTGATATACCGTAAAACAAATTAAACCAAACCAGATCAAATCAACACGTCAAAATGACTCCCCCAATTGGTATTTTTATGTTTGGTTGGGTTTTACACGGCTCTAAATTTTCAACAGAAGAGATTTTCTGTCTTATAGCAGTTGCATCCGTGGCGAAATAGGTGGGCATTTAGGGAGTGGAGGGGGAGATTTGGGGGACTGAGAAAAGTCTTTGCAGTAAGGCTGGTTGTGGAGATATTTTTGGTGTGGATACAAGTGTTTGTATGGTAGTAGCAGCGGTGGTAGCAGTTGTACCAGTTTCGGGTATTGTAATGGTGGCTATGATAAGGTAGTACGAAAAGTAACAAGAATGGCAACTCCCTTCATTGATCCATTCTACATTTCCTTGGTTTCCTTGTTCTAATATTTTCAGCAAAAGCATATTTTCGCTTTTTGCCTTTCCTGAATTAACCTAAGACCCACTTCACTTCACCAGCGCCAAATACAACCTTAGGGTCTCTTCTTGAGTTCTGTGCATGTCAACAGATCTGGGCACCTATAGGGACTGAAGTACAGTTACACGGAACTTCTTACCCCACATGCCTGCTACTCTTCAGACCTTCAGGAGAACGAGGACGATCTATCACAAGGTCAGTTCGGTTTCCCAAATCAAAAATACAGCGTGTGTCTAATAGGGTCTCCTTTTCTGTTGTCACGATGGCGAGAAAAAGTGAATCACGTCGTTGAATCACCGTTTGTTTTTGATTTTTTTTTTTTTGTTGTTGTTTTTTTTGGTTTTTGTTTTTTGTTTTTGTCCGGTGCCTTCCTTCCAGGGACAAACTGGAAATGTGGCTAGTCTCCCCGCAATTCTAACATACCGGTCTTCTACTAGAAACAATGTCCATCAGCTAACGACCATCCCTACCAGTTACAAATAGCGTTAGAGGCTTAATAATCGATTATGAAATTGAAACGTCAAACTGAATTAATCAACTTGTCATTTCAGGAATTGACGATCTTTTTTTCTTTTTTATTAACGATAGAGATCTTCTTTTCTTAGTTCAGGTAAATTTACCAACAACCAATGTTTCCTTTCCTAGGTTTATCTATTTTCTTTCATGCTTCACAAATTCCGTAACATGAGTTTCCATGAAAACGGAGAGAGGCATGTGTACTTCCTGATTTCGACTAATTAGCCTCAGATTTCAGGTTTATCTTCGCGTAGGATTTTAATCCTTGGGCTAATTCTTGATTTTTCTTTCCTACGGTGGGGGGGGGATCATGGGTGTTTTTGTAGGATCCCTGTTAATATGTGGTATTACGGTGTATGTTGGACTGAACGATGATGGGCGAGTTCTTGTGGTGAATAAGTAAACTGTAATGGATGAATGGGTCATGAATATGATTACCTATGTTCAGGATACAGATATTATTTTTTTTTTTTTTTCTCTCTCTCTCTCTCTCTCTCTCTCTCTCTCTCTCTCTCTCTCTCTCTCTCCGTTTTTTTTTAAAAAAAAGAAAAGAAGCAATAAATACATGTACCTTGCTGAATCAGCCAATCAAGCAACTCTACGTATACTCAAGCGTCCGTATTAGAAGCAAACGCAGCTCAGCTCAAATTTTACCACCAAATATTTCTGTCGTTGCTGGCACCAAAAGTAAGTTACTGTATTATTTTAATTTCCATTTTTTTTTTCTCGTTGGATGTGCGCATGGTGTAATGAATAGCGACTCTGAATGAAAAACCGCAGTGCCGAGATCAAATTCGAGTCGATCATCTTTCCATTCACTTTCGTGAAAACACCTTTAGAAAAGATATGAATCTATTTCCTCTCCTCAGCTATGAGTTAAATAAGACTTTTATCTGTATTTTCTCCCAAAAAATTGTTAACAGAAGATTCATTCGCAATTTTTTTTCTTACACTCAAAAATTGTTCCGGCTTTAAATAACCCACAAAGGGTTGATAAACAGTAAAGAAATAAAATTTATCATTTCTCTTTTCTTTGCGAGCCCCACTTATCCAATTTTCGCACAAGTCTATTCCCTGGAAATTGTCTGCATTCCCATTTCCACTGGATCCTAAAACTTCATACAGGACAGACTGAAGGCAAGAGGGACAGAGAAAAAACATACTTAGCGATCTTGAGAAAGTAAATATCGGAACATGGTTTAAGAGAAATAAAGGAAAGACAATTTATTAAGAGCTACGAACGACAGGAAATTATGGAGAGCCATGATCACCTACATCCTGAAGGGAGACGTTACAGAATTTCTAATTTGATTTTCAAATCAGAAATAGAAACTGGGTTAAAAACAGATATCTAAGTAGATAGAGAAAGGTGGGAATGAGAAAAAAAAAAGACAAACACAAAAAAAGATTTTGAAAACTAATGAAAAAAAAAAGACAATTTTCCTTATTGTGCCTCAAAAGTTTTAGTTGGCTCTTCCTGATGTTATGTGTAAGGGTCCATTTTGTTTCTCTAAAACTTCGTTGCACACGTATTCAGTCCATGGTATTCTCAGAATCCTCCTATAGAACCATATTTCTGCTGCCCCAAGTCTCGTCTTTATCTGTAAGATTGTCTAGCATCTGATGCCAATAATTGGCTAGAAAATTCCTTAAGTGCAGCTAGTTGAGAAGGTATATTACAAACAACCATTATAATAAAATAATATATGTATAAATTAAAATAAATATAGACAAAAATTAAGATGAAATTCAATACAGACAGCTAGTTACATTTTCGCAAGTGAATTTTTTGCTAAACAGATTTGCTCAAAAGTTTCCAGGTTACATTTTCTCACTGGACAGCGTCTTGCACGGTCGCATATTCTAATACAATGCATTATCATGAAAGAATAGATCTAGCAAAAAACCAAACTCCGCGTTTACCTTTTGAAATACTATAAATGAAATGTTAAGCCCGATTAGTAGCAGTAGATCATGAAGGTCGATTATTTATTGGTTCAATATTAAAATATCTATTCAACCATGAGTAGGGCCCAGAAAATTCGGTAATTTTGACCAGGTAGTAAAATTCGCTAACTATTGGGTTGATGCATAATTATCGGGCGTTTTTTTTTTTTTTTTTTTTTGTTTTTTAAAAAATATTTAGTATGAAAAAAATATATTTCAACAATAACATTTTAAATGGTTATTCCGGGGCCTATGATTATCGACACGCATTTTTATAACCTGAAAATAAAATATTTTTATTTAAAAAAAAAAAAAAAAAAAAACAGGAAATAAATTATGCACCAACCCAACATGAAATAAAAGTCGATTGAAAATTGATTTCAAGGCCGTTCTGAAAGTAGAAATGAGGCTATATAGTTTTGCATCTTTAAAAAAAATAACTATCTAAAACTTAATTTATTTTCTACTTTTTTTATTAAAATAATAATTTGAAAAGAAGATACAAGAAGTTTAATTTCGATAAATCGATTTTATTTGCTCGAAAACAGAGCGGGAGTCGGCAACTTACAGCACGTATGCCACACGTGGCACGTCAAGAAATTTCCCATGGCACGCAGCCCTAAATGACATCACAAAGTCCGAACCAATACCTACTACAACGCAAAGATATTTAGCTGTTTCAATTTTAATATATACTAAACTATATAAAATATATTGTAGAACAGGTATATTGACTTGTATAAAAATACGTATGCTGTTGGCACTCTGAATGATTTTGATTTTAAAACCCTTAGTTGGTACAGTCAGCAAAAGGTTGTCGACCCCTGTATGTCATTCATTCTCTCTCTTTCTCTCTCTTAGATATATAATATATATATATATATATATATATATATATAAATTTCAAGTTCTAAGCAGTTTCCAATGGCAGGCAGCTGCAAATGACATCACAAAGTCCGATCCAGTAACTACTACAACACAAAGACATTTAGCTGAGTCAATTTAATATATACTATATTATTACTATATAAAATATATTGTAGAACAGGTATATTGACTTTGACTTGTATAAAAATACGTATCTTGTTGGCACACTGAATGATTTTAAAACCCTAAGTCGGTACAGAGTCAGCAAAAGGTTGCCGACCATTACGATAGAGTATAGTAATTAAATAAATATTTATTTAAAAATATTGGAGGACGGCTTAGCCCACTAAACTCTCCATCTAAAATGTACTGCCTTTGTATTATTGCCATAGGATTTTTATCTCGACTGGAACCAATGATTTTTTCAGTTAATATTTAAACGTTGGGAGGTGGCTAACCCCCCCACCCCCTCCAGAAAGTACGACCCCAGTATTTTTGTAGTGGTGTTTTATGTAGACACCCGTGGTTAATACTTTTTAAAAAAATATTTGGTAAGGGTGATTAGCCTCCTCAGCCCGACTTTTGCAGGTTCGTCCCTGGTATTATCGTAGTGGGGTTTTATTTGGACCCCACGATTTTCAGTTATTTAAAATATATAGGGGAGGGTGGCTTAGCCTTTAAATCCCCACGGCCCTAAAATCAACGGAAAACCAGCAAGAATAAAATTAAGTTGCGTTATTTGAGTTAAGCATTGTTCTCCACTGTTAAGGCCTTTATTTTTGCGATACACGTGTGGAGAAGTTTGATTTTTCAATTTCAACTGAGAAGGGTACCTACAAGTATCAGTATCATCTTATGAAATTTATATGATCTTATTTTTATATTAATCTCAGTTATGACATTATGCTGGAAAAATCTCGTCAGTCATATATCGAAAGATACATGATCGCCTAAGCGAGTATCACTCATGGCACATAACTGACTGAAATTTCCTTATATGCTAATACCCTTGGGAAAGGTATGAATCATCTTCTTCTTCCCCCCCCCAGCTATGGGTAAATAGCATGACAGATCGGGTTCTATAGCCTTGGATGGCAACTGGTCTACCAATCTATTACATCCAGCTTAGTGGGAGGGTTGAGGAGAGGACAGTAAATAGCAGGACAAGCCGGGTTCTATACCGCAGAAAAAAATAGTAACCTACTGCAGGAAAAATCTGCCTCGTCAGTCATATATCGAAAGATACATGATCGCTTAAGCGTGCATCACGCATGGCACATAACTGACTGACGCTCAAAATGGCATTAAATTTTTACATATTTTTTTATTCTATAAACTAAACACATCGAAGACCTGAAAGTTTTAAAATTGTATTTTAAAAATAAGTCTGTTTTTCAAAAACAAATATAAGATTTATTTTCATGCGAAAACCAAAAACAAAGAATATTTTGAGTATCAGTAACACTTCACAAAAATATGAGCTTCATGGAATTCTTTTCTGGGAATTACGGAACATATTTTGGATCTTGACACACGGAATTAATTTTGAAATTGTATGACACCTGCAGGAATTATCTATTTTTTTTTTTATTTTTTTTTTTTTAATGTGAAAATTAAGAACATCCAAGCTTCATGAGTATAGACTGACTGCGAGTTAAATGAGGTATAAATGACCTGAAAACTATTTCCACATAACTTAAGATTCAATATAAAGTTAATAAATAAATGCTTTTGCAAAATGTCAATAGAAACATTATGAAAGCGGCTCAGATGAAATATAGAGTATTAATGGTATTAAAAGCTATTTTAATACTTTCATAGTGTTCTGACCCCTTTTTGGAGGGTGGGGTTAACCATTTGCCTATACCTGGGACCCTAATAGGTGCTACAACCTCGGGTAAGGGTGGACTTGGGAACATCAGCAATTAAGAGGGGGTTCAACGCGACAGAGCAAATCAGAGAAACGTACCAAGAAACAGTTGAAGTTTATTTTGTGCTTGGGATATTCGGAGCAATCCCCAGGAAACTTCCTGCCACGCAAGACGCCTTGGGAATACCTGAAATAATTCTAAATATACAGGTGCCAGCGCTGCTCTGAGGAAAATATTCTCTCTAAGCTGCAGGAAGAAGCCAAGATCCATTATCACCCAGATAAAACATCTATGAGGATATCTTATCATAATTCGATTTATATGACCTAAGGTAGTGGTATGCTGTTATGGTTACATTTCCTATAACATCACTAGCGTTACATGGACAAAGATCTTAGTGAGTAGAATATACTTATCAAGACAATGATTTTTGTTGTTTTTTTATTTTTTTAAGCTGGGATTTCCAGGCATTTTTTTCAATGTGTTGTTGTGTTCCTTTTTTATCATTCCAAGCGCACCTACTTTGACTAGTACTATTCTTGTTTTCAGTTTTCACATTTTTTTTACTATTTTGATTTCCAGGACATATTTCGATAGTTTTTCAAATTCCTTCGTTGCTATATTACAGTCTTCTGGGCAAGCCAAATCAATTAGGCAAGTTTTTTTTTTTTTTACTTTTCGGTTTTTGACAATTATGTCCGGCCTGTTTGCTCCAATTTTCCTGTAAAGATGGTGTAATTCTATAAAATTTGTTTTTGTAGTCGGTGCTTTGTGATGTTCATACCAATGTTTGTTAACATCTTTTCCAAAATGTTTGCACATTGTCCAGTGTAAATATTGTCCCACCCTATCATGACGATTTTTATATTCATTTGGTGCAAGTAGAGAACATTCTGAGATTAGATGGTCTATGGTTTCCTGATATTCATCACAGAACCTGCATTTTAGATCCACACTATTATGTATGATGTTTGTCTGAAAGATTCTAGTGAAAAGACTCTGATCTTGCGCTGCAAGAATAAAGCCTTTTATTTCAGCCTTTAATCCAGATGCTAGTAGCCATCGCTGAATGTTAACTTTATCAGTATTAGCTTTATTGGCGAAGGTGACCCCCTCTCCTTCCTTCCCCCCTCTCTCCTTCCCCCCCTCTCTCCTTCCCTCCCCTCTCTCTCTCTCCTCCTTCTCCCCCTCTCTCTCCTCCTTCCCCCTCTCTCTCCTCCTTCCCCCCCTCTCTCTCCTCCTTCCCCCTCTCTCTCTCTCCTTCTCCCCCCTCTCTCTCTCTCCTTTTCCCCCCCTCTCTCTCTCTCCTTTTCCCCCCCCTCTCTCTCCTTTTCCCCCCTCTCTCTCTCTCCTTTTCCCCCCTCTCTCTCTCTCTCCTTATCCTTTCTTCTTCTTTCTTCTCTTTAATCAGAAAGAAAGAAAGAATCAAATTAATGTTTTTATTAAATTGGTTGATATCATTAATGGCGAAAAGGTGTTTGAACATTAGCAAGCACATTGATAATTGGTTGGAGATTAGTTTTTCCTAAGTCACCCAGATTTATTTATCGACCCTCTTCCCCACCATAGCCATCTACCTACACCCTGTATAGTCCCATCGACCTTTTTGCACTAGCCTGCCATATTTCTACAGCAGGCCTTTCTCATTTATATCGTCATAAAAAAAAAAACGATTTTCTTCAATGGAAGCCCATAAGTACAATAACTTAATAGTGCCGAGTCCTCTTTTAAAATCCAATTAAAGAGGACTGGTTTGTTGACTGGGCGGACGTAAGTAAGCGTCACGCTGGACAAGCTAACGGTCGTGCAATTTCGTTTTTTAAAGAGCAATTTTAATAAGACTCGGATGAGCCACTTACGCCCACACGTTTAAATATCAAATGAAAAATGGAAGAAAGATTTGGCTTGTCTTAGTCGAGCATCACTATAAAAGCGATCGGTTATCTGATAGGCTTGAAAAAAGATGAACGCGTCAGTACGGGCGGGTATAAAATATCTAAAAATGTCGCCATCATGGTTTGTGAGTTACTCATCACCTAAAGTAGCAAATGGATTTATTTCAAAGTAAATTTCTTTATTATTAATAATTATTATTATTACAACAGTTAAGAGAAGAATGAGATTTAAGAAACGAAAATGTGTTTGATAATGTTCATTTTAATATTTCAACGGTATGTCTGACTTCGATTTTTTGTAAACATTTTAATTTATAAAAATAAATAATTCTACAAAAATTATAAGTCTTTCTACAAATTTTACTTACAAACACGTTACGTTCATTACGAGGACGACCTTCTTTTTTTTCATTACAAAACAAGCAACGTTTGTATAAAGCTTTAAATTTTTAGTAGATTTATATATTTTTGTATTTGATTTTATTTTTTTTAAATAACATGAAGACATACTGTGGAAATATTGTTTAGCATTGTTTTTTTTCTCTTTTTCCTTTTTTTCTCCTCTTCTTTTTCTTTCCTCTTTTTCTCTTTTTTTTTCTCTTTTTTATCTCTTTTTTTTTTCTCTTTTTTTTTCTCTTTTCCTTTTTTTTTCTCTTTTCCTTTTTTTTTCTTTTTTCCTTTTTTTTCTTTTTTTCTCTTTTTTTCTTTTTTTCTCTTTTCCTTTTTTTTTTTTTTTCTTTTCCTTTTTTTCTTTTTTTTCTTTTCTTTTTTTTTTTTTTTTCTTTTCCTTTTTTTCTTTTTTTCTTTTCCTTTTTTTCTTTTTTTTCTTTTCCTTTTTTTTTTTTTTTCTTTTCCTTTTTTTTCTTTTTTTCTCTTTTCCTTTTTTTTTTTTTTTTCTCTTTTCCTTTTTTTTTTTTTTTCTCTTTTCCTTTTTTTTTTTTTTCTCTTTTCCTTTTTTTTCTTTTTTTCTCTTTTCCTTTTTTTTTCTTTTTTTTCTCTTTTCCTTTTTTTTTCTTTTTTTTCTCTTTTCCTTTTTTTTTCTTTTTTTTCTCTTTTCCTAAATCGCGCTGTTTTAACTGTTTATAAATATAATTCCGTCAACCATTGGTGGTGACGAGGGTGTAGTAGTAGTATACCAACGAAGTGTCGCTTGGATACAAATATAAGAAGCCTAATATACCCATCATGATACCTAAGCTGCCAAGGGTTGATGGATTTCTTTTTTCTTTTTTTACGTCTTATCAACCCTTTGAGGTTTATTTACAACATAACATATTTGGGATTTTAAGAATATTTATTTGGCAACTGAATATTACAATAACAATTTTTGAAAATAGCAATGATTTTTACAGATACAAGTCCTACTATTTAACCCATAGCTAGGAGAGATAGATTCATACCGTTTCCAAGGTCATTTGCGAATAAGTGTATGCAACGAACCCGACCGCTATCCAACACAACATTCGCATATCCGGCTGATAAAGCAATGACAGGTTTATACCTCATGGGCAAAATAAGAGTTTTTGTTACTTAATACACTTTCTTTAAATTCGACGTCTATTTCAATCTCAGACCCTTTGGCTTGTCCCAAAAATCTGTGAAGGCGGAATTTCTGTGGCAAATTTGATTTTTGACGGGCATGAAGTTTACAGAAAATGTTAGTACTTCTTTTTGTGTGTGTGTGTGAGAGAGGACGTGGTTGGTTGGTTGGTTGGGAGGTGCGCGCGTAATTCTGGTCAACTTTAAAATTTGTTTGAAATTAGACCAAATAACTGTGAATCCAATAGTTGATCCTGTCTCCTCCTCCTCCTAATTCTCCGCTTCCTTCTCCTCCTCTCCTTCCTCCTCTCCTTCCTTCTCTCCTTCCTTCTCATGATTCTCTTCTGATTCCCCTCTTCCTTTTCGCCTCTCCCTAAATTATACCCTTCTCTTCCTCCTACTCCTCCTAATTCTCCGCTTCTTTCTCCTCCTCTCCTTCCTTCTCATGATTCTCTTCTGATTCGCCTCTCCCTAAATTATACCCTTCTCTTCCTCCTCCTCCTCCTAATTCTCCGCTTCCTTCTCCTCCTCTCCTTCCTTCTCATGATTCTCTTCTGATTCGCCTCTTCTTATTCGCCTCTCCCTAATTATTGTTCCCCTCCTCCTCCTCCTCAATATCCGTTTTTCTTATTCCCCGCTTCTTTCTTACTCTCCTCTTTATTCACTCCTCTTCCTCTTCCTCCTCCCTTCTTTTCTTCCCTCTTCTTCTCCTCCTCCACCTCAGTATCCTTTTTTTATTCTTTCTTTTTCTTATTCTCTTCTCGCTTCTTCTTATTCTTCTCTTCATTATCATCATCATCATCATCATCATCCTCAACCATCTTATTTTAATTGTAAAATGAACTATATTTATGAACTCATGTTTGTATTTGGACTAATATCCTCGCCTTTATTAGAATATTTCGATTGCTGTGCCTTTCGGCATTCAGTTATATAGTGTAAAGAGAATCGTATGATTTCTGCAACACCATGCAAAAACCATGTGTTGACCCAGGTAGATACCAACCGAAACAAAACAGTCGTCTCCCTTGTGTCAAGGGCTTGTCGGAAAGGATTCAGAAGATCAGTACAATATGTAGAATCAGTGAAATCGAAGACAAGCTTCACACAAACGAGAACAGGACCAACAACTGTGTGTCTTCCATCCCTTGCAGTTTTATCAAAGAATACAAAAGTGAAACGACTAGCCCCCTAAAATGAAGGTGTTTAGGAACATCGAAAAGTCGTAATTAGGAACAACACTGATGATGGCTGATCATATCTGGAGGAAAAAGGGTGGCCAGTAAAAAAATTGTGGAATGGAGTAAAATTACTAGACAGAACATTGTAGAGTCAGACATTTGAAGGAATCGGCGCTTATGCTAGGCTGTGACGGCCTCTTCAGTAACCCCTAGCATGAAAATTAATACCGACATGAACAAGGGCAGCAAGCCTTCAACTGTAGCAGTAGATTTTAAAAAAGTGAAGCCACGGTGTGAGTCATCAAATGCCATAGGAATATCAGCCCCAGGCAGGATAAAACATTAAGCCTACTCTAACAGACCCTAGTGGATAAAAAGACTTGCTAATGAATTTGGTGACAAAGTAATTCTGATTTTAATCTCTAGGCCGGGTAAACTTTGTCTCGATGGAAAGACAGCGAATAATAACTGAGAAGTACTAAACAGGACAAAATGTCTCTTTACATGGGTACATGGTTAGCGGAACGAGAACAATTTATCCCCGTAAACTGAATAATGGGTTCAGTTCAAAATTCCCAGAAGTTTATGTAAGATGAACAAACATCTAAAGAAAACCAAAAGGCGCAACAAACGATGTTTATCCTGCAATTCTAAGATCTGTCTGTGCAATATTTTAATACAGCTATAGTTAATTTTTTTTTAATATTTTATGAAATATATTACTGATACGGAAGTGTTTATTTAATACAGAGATAAAATTACAATCCTTATTACTAAATTACCATCCTGGATACGACGATGATCTACATCCGTCGTCCTGGGTATGACGATGAACTTCTGATCAGAAGGTTTTTAGGAGCGTTGAACCACCTCTTAATTGCTGGTGTTCCCAAGTCCACCCTTACCCGAGGTTGTAGCACCTGTTAGGATCCCAGGTATAGGCAAATAATTAACCCTACCCTCCAAAAAGAGGTCAGAACACTATGAGAGTATTAAAATAGGTTTTAATACCAGCAATACTTTTTGGGAAAAATTATTACTAGCAGTACATTTTCGAAAAAATATTACCCGTAATACATTTTTGAAAAAAAAAAATTACCAGCAATAAAAATCTTGTCGGCATTAAATAACCCATTGAGGTTGATATGCCGTAAAACAAAAACTATTAAATCAGATATCGAAGGAGAGTAAACCAAATAATCTTCATTTCAAGAAGGCCGGAGCTTACAACGGCCGAAACCTCATGAATATGGCAATAACGATGAGGACAACAGTCTGAACAATGTAGATAATTACAATACCTCATCTCAGAAATATAGACAGATCCTGAAGAAGGCTGAAGCGTACAACGTCCGAAACGTTGTGAATATGGCAATAAAGATGACAACAGTCCGAACAATGTAAATAATGAAAATATTCGTTATATTCTCATTTGTATTCAACCCTTTTTATTATCGCATTCTTATCTTTTTGTTTGTGTAAAACTTGACTGAAGCAAAATACTTTTCTTGACCGACAAAAGCAATATCTTTTCTAAATTCCCTGTTGTAATGGGCACGAGTTTCTATGATAGGTTTTGTCTTTTCTAACTGAAAAGAAAGTCAACCAATCCTTGTCTCTTATCAAAAATTAAAAAAAACGTTGACTGTTTCTAAGATAAAAAAAAAAACTGCTACTTCTCTATTTTTTCTTTTAAAAATGTGAATCTCTTGTTACTGAACAACTAATATTAAAGATTACTTGATTGGCTCATCGAAAATGTATAGAGTGTTTGTCGAATGATAAAACCTAGCAAGGTTTCTACGACGTACTAAAAAATATAAACTTATTCAAAAAAATAAATAAATGTACCAAGAAAATAAGGGTACTAAAAAAAATAGCCGTACTCAAAAAGAAAATGTAAAAAAAATCAAAAGCAACAAAGAAACGTACTAAAATATAATCTAGAATAATTTGAGACACAAACCGTTACCGCTCACTCAATAACCGCTAGTCTAATACAATAGACCTTGCTACTCATAATGCACTGGCATATATAGTGGAACCAAAACAACTCGTATGCCCTGAAGATTGCGTTCAAGTATAAAACAGATCTTAACCACTTGGTGTTACCTCAGCATTCACTTTATATAATGTGATTGTACATAGAAATCCAGACGGCTTGGGGACTCTTTCACGTCTCAATACGATCTCCAGACCATGTTTTGATCTATAAATACTTCTAGATGACGAGTATTCTTCCCCCATAAATATAGCACGATTTAAACAATACGCACGTATTTTCACATACACACACACACACACACACACACACACACACACTAGTTAAATTCAGCCAACAAGGTATGTCTGATTTCCTATTGCATTTTTCCAATTTTCAAATACATCGGGATCAAAATCGTAGATAAACTTTTTTTTTGTTCTTGTATGTTCAAATATCGCGGTCATTATCAAGAGTATTTTCAGTACGGTAGACAGCCTGTTTTGTTTTTGTTTTTTGTGGGTTTTTTTTTGCATATTATTTTATATGCATATTAAATATTTGGTACTCACTTTAAGATTCCGTCTCCCCTAGTGAAAGATGTGGATGGTTCCAGACACACTTGAAACCGAATTTTTTTTTTTTCCTCTTCCAGATCGTTCAGCGATAGAAGCTCGGATGGGCCTTCTCAAAAGATCATCTCCCGAAGTACAAAAGCGAAAAGCAAGGTACAGGTGAGCTTACAGTTTTGTTCTCTTTCTCTATTTCGTCGCAATTAGATATGGACAGACCAAAATTCTGAATAAAATATTTATACTCCTAATTTTGCCAGTATTTTGCCGGTCAAATACAATAAAAATGGAATATGTTGCGTCAATCTTCAAATGTCGTAGAGCGAACCTTCTTTGAAAAGCCTCATTCTAGCATTTAGCTAAACCGGAACACTGGCAACTAGCTTGGCTACAATTTCAGAGACAGTTACCGTAACTCACCCTGTATAATACGCGTTATTTTCTAAAAAATAATAAGCAAAATTAGCGGTGCGTATTTTACACAGTTACAAAAAAATCTATAAAAAAATTACCGTTTCATAGGTCGATTTCAGTTGCGAAATTATTACTCACCACAAACATATGACAATTTAACACTAACATTTGGTGATTACAACCCCATAAGGATGTCAAATACAATATATGTACCTAACAATACTTACAAATGTAAAATAAAATAAGAATTATCATAAAACTAAATTAGAATAATATTATTCTATGTTTAAAACCATTTTTGTGAAAAACTACATACAGATCTGGTAGATTGCACATTTTATCGAACAAAAACAGGTTAATGAGTCTGCGCAGTAGACACAATATAAGTATTTCCGTTTCCTTTTAGAATTGTGATTTTCGTAAATTACAGCTTGAATAAGAGTAGGAAACGCTGGCCGTAATGAAATTGGAGACGTACAATTTATAAGGTTTGATTAACAAACACGGAGTGCGTATTATGTGTGAGTAAAAGCATTTTCCCACACTTTTAGCACAAATTTTAGGGCGCGTTTTGAAGACGTATTATACATTGGGAATTACGGTAATTCGATTCTCTAAAATCTTTCTTAGGATCAAGGCCGACCGCTAAAGCACTTCTTACACTTATTCAAATTAATCAGTCATCCATTCACGATTCTAGTATTTTTTAGACAAATTCCAAGTACGCCATATATTAGGAGCACAATTCATGAAAGAAAATAATTTTCTTTGTTCTAGGACGAAGTCGTAGTATTTTTTTAGCTTTTCACATTTGTCTTTGTCGCTGAAAAACTTGCATCTAACGTTTTTATAATTTATTTGGCCAAGATATTTGTTTGGGATCTGAAAGTTATTGCATCTCATTCCTTTATATTACTATGTGAAAACATTTACTTACATAGTGCAAATTTATTTGAACCATTTCCAGCGTATTACTGTTCCTGCTCAATCATGCTGCATTCTTTTATGGTGGATTTCACAGACTCCTCTTTTTCTCCTCAAAATATCTAGACGTGGCTCCCAAGTATCCTTGTCTGTCTCATCCTTCAAACGTAATAAAGCCGCCTACTCGACACCTGGCCATAATGCTACCTCAGTACTCCCACACATGAATAAAGATGCATCGTACTCCTCAGCCGCTACGGGACATGCCCAAATGGTTAGATAGGAAAATGATGTGCAAATGTGTGTGGTACTGAGTGGGATATCTATGTAGCCCATTTTAATTCACCAAGAAAAAACAACTTAACACAATCAATCAAGATCAGAAGTCATGAAAGCACCACCTAGTCAGTCAGTTATGTGCCATGCGTGATACACGCTTAGGCGATCATGTATATTTCGATACATGACTGACGAGGCAGATTTTTCCCGCAGTATAGAACCCGGCCTGTCCTGCTATTTACTGTCCTCTCCCCCCCCCATCAAGCTGGATGTAATGGATTCGACTGGAATTCGAACTCGACTCGGAATTCGAAATCCGAACCGCTATCCATTACACCACCGCGCCTCCTTCTTCAAAGATTACTTATTTTTCCGGTAATTGGATTTAATGTTCAAATAATAACTTCAAAAATTTATTTCTTAAAATTATTATTTGAACATCAGATCCCATAACCAGAAAAATGTCGGACTAGAAGGCATGAAATCCCAAAGCCCTAACAACTGTAATTATTGTCTTCCTGTGAAGTTTGCTTAGATTTTCCCTTCTAGATCCTTGAAATACTGATAGTTTTTTTTTTTTGTTTTTTTTTTTGAAGATCTTCAAAGATTACTTACTTAAAATTATTATTTGAGCACCGGATTACATCACCTGAAAAATGTCAGGATTCCTAGATTCTTTGAGTTTACACAAATAGCAAGAGTTTTTTTGCAGGGTTGACTGGGCTCTCTGGCATTGGACGGCAGTCTGGGTAGGAGAGAAGCACCTCTAAATTCAAAACCGGATAGGCAACAACGCAAAGTATTCTATCTTGACCAAGAAGTCATGGCAATTCGCGTAAACACTCGGGCCACTTTAAGTACGTGAAAAATGTTCTTTTATATAAATTTCTCATGAGCCAATACGTGGCAACAATTTAATGAATAAAGACAACACACGTCAAAAACATATCACCTACATTTATAAAACCTATACTTAAAGATTATGTATAACTACTACTAACACTACTACTACCTCTACTAACGTAAAAACGTCCCCAATTCAGCATGCGGACAACCACCACACCTAAATAAAAATGCCTACTTGGCACACCTCACACGCACACACATAATCATCCGAATCCCGCATTGACAAACTAGATATCATGATACACTTACATACAAAAAAACTTTACACGAACGCTGTTTAACAAGACAATTGCCCACGAAGCCTGCTTAACCAATGAAAAAACACACAAAAATTGAGAATAACAATGTTTTTCTTTTTCTCCAAATTTCATTCTCTAAGGAAATATTAATGAAGGCGAAACATGTTAGAATTATAAACGTTTCCTTTTGTCGGATTCATTGTCGGGTTCCGATCCATATTTGATCCCAATTCAAAGGCGTTAAACATGGCCATGTCAACCTACTGAATTTCCTTTCATGCATTAGTATGGCAAAGAAAATTGACTTCAGTGACTTTGAACGTGGCATGATCGGTGGTATCAGACGAGCGGGTTTGAAAATCGAAAATGTTGATCTGTTAGGATTTTTACCCAGAACCATCTCTAGGGTTTACAACATGCAGAAAAAAAAGGTCCAGTGAGTGGCAATTCTGTGAACAAAAATCCTTTGTTGATAAAAGGTTTGAGGAGAATGGCCAGACTGGATCAAGACGATAGAAAGGCGACAGTAGAGCTCAAATAACCACTTTTTACAACGCAGGTATACGGAAGAGCATCAGTGAACGCACAATTCGTTGAACCCTGAAGCAGATGAGCTACAGCAAATCATGTTACGTGTCACTCCTGTATGATAACAAGAAACTTAAGCGACAATTCGGTAAGGATGAAAAATTTAAAAAAAAATGGAATACATTGCCTTGTATCAACGGTGCAGGCTGGTGTTACTGGTATAATGGTATAAGGAATATTTTTTGGCATACAGCATGCTGATCATGTGTCCAGGAATTGTACTCACATAGTTTTCGGTAACCTTTCTTTATCATACCCAATGTACCTATCACAGCAAGGATGATTTTAAGGATATTTTTTAATTTCAAGGATAGTTTCCACATTTTTGTTACTTCGATTTGCAGGTCCTTAGAATGTGAATGTTTTTGAAATTCATTTTTTTTTTAAATTTTGGAATATTGTGGGCAAGTCTTATCAGTTGGCAGGTTCATTTTTTAAAATCTTATGACTATGATTGTTCAATTTGCATCAATTTTCTTATCTGTGAGGATTGGGAAATTTCTCGCTATAATCACTCCATCACTATTTGTGACGTCATTCGGCTGGGGTTTGTACCATGTATCCGGAAATTTAATACTATACGACATGACAATTAATATATTGTCCTAGACTGTCATGTCTAATAATTCTCTCTCAATAAGGACTGGCCACCCTCATACTATGTGGTTAACTTTTTCATCAAATTTATGGCATAGGCAACAAGCGGGATTTGAACTATTTATGTCAGCATTAGTTGGAAGACATTGGTCTTATGCTACCATAATAAAGCCTTGTGTCTCCTTAAGATCACAGCTTATAAACCATTGATGCGTTTGGCGAACGTCTATGTCTGGTTCATCCAAATGCTTTGGGTACTTTCCATTCCAGGGTTTAGATCTCCATTTTTGGTTAATAGTCATCATATAAACATCTTTCATCAGTAACTAAATTATCTTTGCTGCAGTGGTGGGAGATTCAAGACATTTGTGAGTATAAGGAGTTTCGTATTTTTTTAGCTTTGTTTAATGATGGAAGTAGTCTTAGTATTCTCATGCTTGAGTATAGTCTTCAAATATTTTATAAGGATATGTGATTGATGTTTTCAAAGATATTTCTAACTAAATGAGTCCTTGTTCACTAGCTTATCTAGGGATATATATTCTACCAATTGTCTCGCCTTCGCTCATTGAGAGCATTCTTGGGGTCCTTGATTACTATGTCTGGGTGATTAGCTCCGAATGTTCTGCGTATTGTGAAGTTCCATAAATGGTTATGTCTGTAACCTGTTCTTGGTGGTGTTCCTAGCAATTTTTTTGCAGTTTCCTTCGCATAAAAGTTTTAGATTTTCATGCCGAATTTTATATTCATTGGATGCTAATACCGTACAATCTGATACAAGGTGTGGTCAATCGTTTCTGCATATTTATTATGATTATTATTCATAAGAATTAATTAAAAAAAAAACTTTGCAAAAATTTCCAAATTGCTATCATAGAAATTTGCCAAGAAGCTATTAGGTGAAACGATTTCTTTGGGCGGTGGGGGGGGGAGTCTAAAAAAAAAAAGGACATTACGTGGCACCACAAGAGTAACTGGATTTCATGACAGCCAATTATCCAATATCCGGTGTCCACTCAGAAGATGTTCCTTGTAATTAATGGGTGTCAGAAAATTAAATCCAGGCGACTCTATGCAATCTACCCACTCACACATTCTGTGGGGAACAAGAAGAAATGGCTTTCCCAGGCAGGTAATGAGAGAGTGAGGAACGATTTTAATTACATGCTTAATAACGTCGAGAAAGCAATCATTGTAATTTGAAGACTTGCATCT